TATATATATATATATATATATATATATATATATATATATATATATATATATATATATATATATATATATATATATATATATATATATATATATATATATATGTATGTATGTATGTAAAGGTATATTTGCATGTTGGGAGATTTGAATACAATAAAAAAAAGCATTAAATCTTTTAAAAAGGGATATTAATTTTTTTTAATATTCGGTCACAAATAGCTTCAAATTTATAAAAAATAATTTGTTTTTTTTTTTTCACAAATAAACCTTGGTACATTTAACCGTATAGGCATTTAATTCGAGAATGAAATTAAATTGGATTTCAAATTTGAAGACAAAATAAATAAATAGTTAAAATTTTGGAATATGTCTACAAAAGAGCGCGAGTATATTGTTGTCTAACGAGGATCATTAAAATAATAAAAATGCTAAAATAAATAGAGGTTAAATTATTGATTTTATTTATTCAAAAAATATGTAATGTATGCTAATAAAATTAAAAAAAAAAAATTATATTAATCTATGGCATAAATTTGAATGGTAGGTTTAGTAAGTATAAAAAATTTATAGATTAATTTTATAATAAAAAGAAAATGTTAAATTTGTAATTTAATCTAAAAGAAAAAGTGAGCGCGTGGGTAACAAACGCGAGTGGTGGTGTGTAGTGAAATATAATACCACCACGAATGACTACCGAGGAGGAGCTTAAAAGCGAGGCAATGGGAGTGAAGATAGGAAGTCCACATCTTTTTATTTATTTATTTTCATTTAAAAATTACATGAAATATTAAAGATTAAGTATCTTCAAATTAGTATGTGAATTTATAAATAATCGAAATATTTTAAAATTGAGTTAAGGACTTATTAAAATAAAAATAATACAATTTTGTATGAATTTTGGATAATTTAGTTGAAATATATATGGTACTACAAATATGTACCCATCATTGCTTCTTTGAATTGTTATTTCGCAAAATTTAATACCAAAATTAAAAAAATAATAATAATTTATATTATATTATATAGTTGAAAGTGGGAGCATGTAAAATTTAATGCCATTAATTAAAATAACCCAAGTTCAATAAGTTGAATTTTTCAGTGGTGAATGATGACGTAATACTAAGCTTCTCCAAGCAATTGCCCATACCCTTCATAATTTACCCATGCCCTTCACATCTTGCTTTCATGCAATAAACTAATCATATACTAAGCTTAATATATATATATATATATATTAAGAATGATACGTTCTTAGATTTTTAAATTGATGTATATAAAAAATCAAAATATCAATTTAATTGATATCATTTTTTAAAAATTATATATATATATATAAAAGCTGTAATTTAATAATTTGTACTTCTTGCTTTTTTAAAGGTGGAGAAAATAATAATAATAATAATAATAACAATAACAATAAATATTCTGATTGGTCCGATTTTCCCCCGATCTATTAGCAAATTCATTCACCTGACGTTTGATTTGTACGGTTTGGATTCGTTTTCCGACCCTACGATGGCTGATTTGAGAATTTAACCTTTCTCTTTAGCTTTGGTACACGTGTATCTGTTTCATTGGATATCACTCTGCCACCGTTTGGATGTGGTTAGACTGTCGTTTTATTTACGTCACCGTAAAGTTGGAGTGGGTTGGACTCAGTCTCCAATGTACCAATAAAAAGTTTCGAGGATAAGAATGTAATTTTGCATTTCTCCCTTTTCTAAATAAATCTCTATTGAATTTATCCCAGCCCATTACATGTCTCGGACTCAAATCCAATACATGGCCCAGCCCATCCCATCCCAGTCAAGCCCAGCCCAGCCCATCCCAGTCAAGCCCAGCCCACTGAGAAATAGAGCTATATATATTAATTTGTTAAAAGGAAAAAATAAGAAAAAGGAGAAGATATTTTGAATGAAAAGAAATGTGAATATTGGCCGCATCCCACAAGCCCACAGCACTGCCATGTATTTTAATTTTCTTATATATATATATTATTATTAGTACAATAAATTTTTTATTATTTCGTAAAATTATAAGATATATTTTGAATTAAATTATTAAAAAAAAAAAAAAGTGACAAAATTAGTAGAGACGTAAGGTTGTGGGCATCTGGAGTCCGACACGAACTCAGTGAGCGTGACTCCACCTCAGCTTTATCCAATTAAAACCCAATCCTTTTGCTGACTCATCACCACCCATCTGTGGGACCCACCGGAGCCTTTTAACGAACGACTTGAATAAATCCTTATCCATTTTAACCCTACTTCTCCAAAGTGCCGACATTTTTTTTATTTTTTATTTTAAATAATTTTTCCTCTTTTCTGATAATTTGATTTTTTTTTTCCTTTTTTGAATGAATTTCTTTTTCCATTTAAAAACTAAATGTAAGAAATTTGTTAAATTATGTATTAACGAAATATTATAATTTTTAGTTTAATATCTAAGATAATTAAAATAATTAAATATGTGTCCTTTTCCTCCATTTAAATGTAATATTTTTGGGGATTAAATGAAAATAAAGACCTTGTCTTAGGATTGTGGGGACAGGTTAAAGATTCCTTTTCTCATTGTCTCCCCAATAATCCTCTAATAATAATTATAATAATTTGAAATAATATCTACAAACTATTAATAAATATCAATTCAAGCTTATATTTGAATTTATATTTTTCTGACACTAAAATGATAAATAAAATTTTAATGTAAATAAAGATGGATACTTAAGTTAATTATAATATTGAATTAAAAATTAAAAAAATTAAAGAGTAGAATAAAATACTAATGTGAATCTTATGGTATTGAACTTTTATAGATTAAAGAAAATGTCTTCAATTTTCAACACAATAATTTTGGGAAAGTAATTTAAATATATATATATATATATATATATATATAAAGATTATGAAATAATGGTGTAAAATAATGTTTTAAAAAGAAAGAGAAGTCAAAACCACTCATTTTGTTGTCTCCCAAACCTTATCCATTGGCCTTAATTTATTTTGTGAATTTCACAAATACTTATATATTAAATTATGAATTTAGTCTATTTAATTTTCGAACTTTAATTTTATAATTTTGTTTACTACAAACGTTAAAAAAAAAAAATTATAAATATAATCCAATAAAAATATTTAAGCTTTGAAAAAGTGTTTAACGAGCATCATCTGAATATTAAAATTTGTGTCGAAAAGATGTATTGAATAATTTTAATAGATAATTTGATTAGATTATTTTTAAAATAGACCGGGATTAAAAAAAAGTTTAGTATTGAATTAATTAAAAAAGACCACCGTTATTAAAAAACAGTGAATATATTTTAATATTTGTTCAAGTTTCTTGTGCTTATTTTTTTTTAATGAATTATTATTATTATTTTGTTAAAGGAACATGGCATGACATAAACAAAACAAAATTTCTCAGAAACAAACAAAAAAAAAAAAAACATTAAAAAAATTAAATAAACAATTCAAATTCTGATTTAAAAAATTGTAACTTCTAGATAATTGAAGTTCACTGAAACTGTGTGCCGTTGGCTATTGGTTAATTAGCCTACCAAATATATTTATAGAACATAGATTAAATAAACTACAGTCTTTAGAAGCTTAGGTTTATTAATTTCACCATTGATTTCATTATAATCCCTAGTTTTCTGGCATTATACCATACTTAATTAATTTAGACCCTATTAAAATAAGTACCCAAGGATATAAATGAAAGCAAAGTTTACATGAAATTAAATTTTTTCTACCAAATCCTATAAGATTGTAATGGAAGTGTGTTTAATGAGGAGAAAAATTATCCAAAGATATCATTTCAACATATATATTTTTAAAATTCAATGTTAAAAAGTGAACTTATTTAAAATTTAATTGCAATTTTATGAAACTTGAATTTCATTTATGCCCCATCTATTACAACTCTAACCGTTCATAGTGAATCAATTCTAAATCTATGTTGGAACTCAGATATAAATCATGGATTTTAGCAGCTTTTTATTAATACGAGTGGTTTATCTATTTTGCTCCACTTATTTAGGAATAATTACTTTTGGAAAGAGAATAATTGGACTTTGAAAAAAGAATAATTTGATTTTTCCCACTAAATTAAATATTCGATTTATGATTTGAAAGGAAATTATAGAATGGGTGGATTGGAGATTCCCACAGTAAAACAAAAACAGGAGAAGGCAGACACTGTAATTGCTTTGGGATAAACGACGGTCAGTTTCTGGATTATTTTTGCCTATAAATACCCAAAATAAATCTGAAGCTCAAAGCCCAATTCTGTTATCCGACAAATTCTTAATCCATTGTGGATATGGCACAAGAATTGATCCCCGGATTACCCGAAGAAATCGCCCTCGACTGCTTAATTCGCTCCCATTTCACTACTCATCGGATCGCCGCCCGAGTTTGCCGTCGGTGGCGAGGCTTATTCCTCAGCCGCGATTTCCATAATCTCAGGAGAATTTCCGACCGGACCCACAAGGCCGTGTTCGCAGTTCAGTCACTTCTGGTGCCGGCTGGCGATGGAGATAAATCCACTGCTCCGCTCGCGTTCGGTTTGTCGGCCTTCGATCCGGCTACTGGGAAGTGGACCTGGATCAAACCAATCGAAAAATACTCAAATGGACTACCGCTTTTCTGCCGGCTGATAGGTGTCGACGGGAAACTGGTGGTGATCGGCGGGTGGGATCCGGCGAGTTACCGGCCTGTGGAGGATGTGTTCGTGTACGACATGGCGGCGGAGAAGTGGAGGCAAGGGAAGGGGATGCCGGCGACGAGGTCGTTTTTTAGCGCGGTGGAATGCGGCGGCGAAATATTTGTCGCCGGCGGGCACGATGAGTGGAAGAACGCAGCGTCGACGGCGTGGGCTTACAACATTAAGAATGACGAGTGGAGGGAGTTGCCAGCGATGAGTTGCGGAAGAGATGAGTGCGAGGCGGTGGCGATTGGATCGGATATATGGGTAGTGAGCGGATATAGGACTGAAAATCAAGGGAATTTCGAAGCAACAGCCGAGATATTCGACACAGAGACGGAGAAGTGGCGGCGCGTGGATAGTGCGTGGAGGGAGGAGAGAAGTCCAAGAGGGGTGGTAGGAGTGAGCAGAGAAGGGGGATTGTTCAGCTGGGCGGCGGCGGTAGCAGCGACGACGGCAGTGACGGCGGAGGAAGTAGTCGGAGTGAATATGGAGGGTAAAGCAATGGTGTTCGTGGGGAGACATGGAATTTTTACGAGGGAAGGGCAAAATAGTAAATTTGAGAGAATGGAAGTGCCAGAGGACTTTACGGGGTTTGTCCAATCGGCTTGTTACACGGAGATTTAAACCATCTGGTGGCTTCTGTAAATATCTTTGATATTTTTTTTGTCTTTTTCTGTATATATGGTAGTGGCAAATTGTACTATTACGTTAAAAGAAAAAAAAAAAAAAAAAAAAAAAAAAAAAAAAAAAAA